TGTCCGGTTTGTGGATTTTGGGGAGGAGGTAAAATTGAGATACCTGTGGATGTTCCATGATGAGCTGGTTCGCCTCCTGGGGGAGCTCGTTACTGCTGATAAGAAGGGAAATGGTGGATACCACTTCCTTTTGGTAGTCAGTGGTAGGGTCCTGTTGGAGAGGGAGGTAGGCAGAAGTGTCAGTTAGTTGTCTAGAGGCTTCAAAGATATATAGATCCTTACGCCACACCACAACAGCACCTCCTTTGTCCGCTGGTTTGATGACGATATCATCCCTGTTGTGGAGAGACTGGAGCGCCTAATTTTCTCCTTGGGTGAGGTTAGACCTATGTTTACTGGGTATAGAGAGTGCCTTGGGAGCTTGATTAGTGCATTGGTTGATGAAATAATCAACTGGTGGAAAAAGGCCAGAGGAGGGAGTCCAACAGCTCTGTTTGGGATTAATGTTGTTAATGACATCAATAACCGGGTTGTTATCAGCTGCCTGTGAAGAGGAATTGTCGGCAAAATGTGCTCTGAGACGGATCCTGCGGTAAAAGCGGTTAAGGTCGAAAATAGCAAATATTGTTGCTCTAAAGGCCCCTTTAAGAAGTGACTCTATTAAGTAGGTAACAGTTCAATATCATTTTAAAAAGTGGACATTTGCTTGAGGTGGCATATACAGTACTGTTAATGAATTTTAATGCTTATGTGCATTTACCTCAATATGGTTGTTATTGCTTGGTTTTAGAAAAACTGTACTATTCTGTAATGACATTTCAAGCTGCCTTTTATTTAATAACTTCTATCTGTGCATTTCAGGTGCTTTTTGCATTCCTATCTACATCCCTTACATCCTGACAGGAAGATGGATGCTTGGGAGAGGCTTATGTAAGCTTTGGCTAATCATAGATTACCTGCTGTGTACTGCTTCCGTCTTCAATATTGTCCTGATAAGTTACGATCGCTTCCTCTCTGTAACCAGAGCTGTAAGTATTTTTGCCCTTTTTATTCTCCACCTTCACTTTAAGCATGTTTGTTATATATCAATTACCTTGCTGAGAAGATAACCTGTGTCATTTTCTCAAATATTTGAGATTGTAATTCACAGGCAAGTCGCTGATTATGTCCCAAATGATTTTTACTATGGAGAAATATAATTTATATTCTAAACCAGTTTTTGAATCAAACTGTGACACTGCCAGATACTAATGGTTGCACATTCATTAGAACAATGTGAAAAAACACCATGTTTGTTTGTGAGTGCAAGGTACTGTAGATGGTGAAGGAGAATTTTGAACAAAAGTTTGTACCCTGACTGTATGTGAGCTGTTGAAAAAGAAGGTGCTTGTAATTTGTTTCACAGAATTAGGCATGTATAACAAATATGCTAAAGAACAGTAGCTTTAAAGTACTGTACAAGCCAACATGATTTTGTAAAAACAAAACTAATCTAATTTCAGATCTGAGCTGCTCTTTACTTGTACCTTGTCCTGCTAGACTAAAGTTGCATAACTGCAATTCAATTATCAGTCTAATGTATACAATTGTGTTTTTTTTTTCCTGAAAAAAACATCTGAGCTGTGGAACGATGGAGCCATCTTCAGGTGTTAGGGCTACATCTACAAAACGTATTTTCCCTTATTTTTATTTTTCATTGAGGAATTAATCTCTGCTTGTTCCTTTGCAGCTGAAAAGATGTTGAAGTTATCCATTCTGTCCTCTGCATCATTGCTTAATTAATTTATAAAAAAGAATATCACTAGATATCTAGGTAATTGCAACATACAGCATAGACAGGTTATAAATATCCATCATTAATATGGAGTTTTAGAGCATATAATCACAACCTTTGGGCATTTAACTTTCATAATGGCATTTAACCCACTCCACTTGTAAAGAAACAATTTATTGTGTATGTGTGACAGGCCCTCCCCTCCACCAGGGAGAAGTGAGGGTCACTCATGATGGTTGAGAGTAAAAGTCCAGGTTAACTTTGCCTTTTTAGGTCACAACAAGAAGCCCCAACTACCACAAGTTCCATACACGCATTATCTACCACGTACAAAAGTGCTAGAGTAGTCTAATCTAATTTCCCACCTCATACCCAGTGTGGCTATTTGCATGAATCAGAGTCTTTCATATAGTTGCTTCTGGTGGCACTTTGGCTGTAAAATCATCCCCATTTTAAGCCGACCTCCCACATTACATTAAATTAGGATGTGCTGCTGGTGCCTTTGAGTTTCTGCACCTTTTCTTCAGATGACCTGCCAGACCACATGCAGTTAATCTAAATAAAATTTTAGGAATCAGTCTATTTTAATTTATTTTTCCTTATGAAAAACATATTTTCTATACATGTACAGTACATGTTGGGTGCAATACATGCAACCTAGTGTATACTTGTACTCTATCAGTGCAAATGTGCTGGTACAAGATAATGTTACTGTAGTTCAATTTTTTCATGTATTTCCAAACTGAAAAGGCCTGTTTGCCACGCTCTGTCAACATTTTCAACAGGTTGATGTGTTGCCTGTGTTTCTAGCTGCTAAAGGGACCCAGACAGACCTTAGCTTGACCAGCTGTTATTTATTAAAGCTTTCTGCAATCTGTGTTTTTCCATATATGTGGGAAAGCATGGCATTAAATTGCCATTTGTGAAGATGACTCACATGTTTACGGTTCAGTGTGATTTGAGTCCACTTCCAACAGTTTAAAATCTTGTGAGTTGTGATGGATCTTTTTTGTCAGATTGCTTGGCAGGAACCTTGTTCAGTTATTTATGAGCTGCTGCTATGTTATAACAGATATTACTTGTCTGGGAAACATCACTAAATGTATTTAATGCTCGTAAGCCACATATGCTATAATTTTTTTAAATATCAGATTGTAGATGTGACAGTCTTTTGTAATAGTTTCAACAACACGCTGTCTAGCTTTTCTTAATGTGGTGTGTTGTATTCTGAATGCAGTACATAACATTACAATGGATAGATAGTATGCTATACAACTTGAAAACTTGTGTATGTCTGAGCATATATATTTCAGCCTCTTCATGATAAATCACCTGTCTGTCGTAGCTAAGCTTTCCTATCAGATGCATGGTTGTGAAACAGACTTCATTGTCCTTCACTGCGGGGAATATTTTATTAATAGCCAGTGATTCGGGATGTGTTCATTACTTTAGATCAGAGTTATTGTAGTGGCTTTATTGCCAACGTTTGGTTTTAGATTAACAAAAACCTTCTGTGTCTGTTATTTAGACTGATCACAACATTTGATAGGACTTCTTTCAAGAAGAAAATGAGAGGATGAAAATTAGGGAAAAGGGATTAACAATAAAGAATGACAGATTATGCAAAAATCCAGAGTGGCAATGTCGAAGCAACAGTAAAAAAAACATTAAGATGTCAAGAGGCGCAGAGAGTGTACATAGAAGAAAATAATAGAGGAGAGAGGTCTGAGATTCAGCATATAGAAGTGTAAGATTATGGTGGCTGGAAATACAGGATCGTGGATGAAAATTTAAAGGGAAAAAAAGGTACTCACATATCTTTGAAGTTCAATTAACTAAAATGGTTCTTTTTATGAAGACATAAAAATAAGAATTAGAATTAGGTAAGCGGGGGCTTTTGGCAAATTCATAAATATTTTTAATTGAAAATTGTGCTCTCAAAGCAAAGTTGAACATATTCACAGCCATGGAAGTGAAAATCAAAAGAGGTGATTTGGAAAATAATCTGCAAGAGCAGATTAATGTATCTAGGGTGTACTGTATGTTACAGAACGATGAATGAGCCATTCAGTAATCATGTTTATCATTTATTGCTAAATTGATGCCAAAAGGAAAAGAAAAAATCTCTTTGAGTGTTACTACCGCATTGAATAATTCAGTTTCTTGTAAAGAAATTCCAAAACTGGACATTAAAGTTAGTTCAGTAGATCTCAAATCTTATTTTTATTCAAATATCTAATAAAAAGCTTTCATGTTTCATGGTCCTTCTGGAGATCAAAAGTCTTCATTCATCTAATTTAAGAGCTACCTAAATCAAAGAGAGCTGCCCTGCCTTTACCATCCTTTTCCATAAGACCTGTTGTGCTACTCTAAAGACACACAAGACAAGTGGTTTTGAAATTGATTAAATGTGTTACCAAGGTGTGAAATCCTGTGCCTTCTGTTTGAAGTGGAAGGAGATTTCTTTTCCTCTTGCTTCCCCCGTTTTCTTCTTTCGCACTTAGAAAATCTATATTTGAATGCACCTTTAATGACAATATATCAAATATATTATAGTGTACTATAATATACTGTACATAGGGAAAACATGATTGGATTGATTTGAGATGGCGCCGTTCCATGTGGACATCTCAGGTGCTGTTATTTTAGGACCCAGGTTATTTTATTTTTGTGTTATGTGTTGTTTTCTGTGCAAACAATACGCGCGTGACCATCACCTGCGACCAACACTCCTGGACTTGAGATTTACAGGTTTACTCAAGTACAGAGCAAACAGAGACACGGAAGCATGGGTAAGAGGAGCGGCGTGTCCTGCTTGCAATCACTGGGCAATAAGATCGACGAACTTCACTGTCGCTTCAACACTCCGCTGGACTTGAGAGACTGCTGTTTTCTGTTTCATTGAAACCCAACCTTCCCGATACCGCTGTGCGACCCGCTGGATTCATGCTGTACAGAGGGGACCCCACAGCTGATCCTATCGGCAAGGAGAAAGGAGACGATTATTAATAACCTTTGGTGCAATGACATAGAAATTCTCTAGAGGTCTTGCTCATCTAATCTGGAATACCTCACTACCTTTTAGCTGCATGCTGTACAGCGTCTTTAGCAAATATGAAAACATACATCCAGAAGCTGTTTCTATCATGGCGGGCACTTTCAACACGTCTCCGTTCCCACTAGAGGCAATAACACACTGGAGCTCTGTTACACCGCCGTTGATTATAGGAGCATACCGCTCCACTTCACGACCAGGACTTCAGGAAGTCTGACCACGCCTCCGTGCTCCTTTTTCTTGTTAACAAACAGGAAGAAGCTAAAAAGTACTACCTGCAGTAAAGACATGCAGTCACCTGCAGACCCGCAATTACTAACTGGTGTGATTCAAAGATTCTTCCACTGATCTAAATGAGTTTGCAGAAGTGGTCGCATCCTACATCAGTTATTGCGTGGACAGATGTGTTCCTACCAGGATAATCCGGATAATATCCCAATCAGTAGCCCTGGATTAGCAAAGACATTCGCTGCAAATTTAAAGCGCAGCCTGCTGCCTTCCAATCAAGTGACAGAGAACTTTATAGAAAACCTTGGAGAAAGCTACTAAACTGGCAAAACAGGAATACAAGGACAAATTAGAAAAACAGCTTGGGGGCAACTCAAGGCACATGTGGCAGAGCTTTCAAGATATCATGAACTATAAAGACAACATGAGCGTTGTTTCCTCCACTGATGCATTTCAGTCAGATGAGCTGAAAACCTTTTAGCCCTGTTTTTAAGCTCAGAACACTGAGCCTGCTATCAAGACAAAATCAAGTCAGCAAACTAGGGAACTTTGTGTCTCTCTAAACATGAGGTGTGAGGAGCCTTTAAGAGAGTGAGAACCCGTAAAGCAGCCGGCCCAGATGGTGTCTCCTTTCGTGTCCTTAAAACCTGTGTTATCTCCTTTATACACACACATTTTAAACCTCTCTCTGTCCCTGTCAGATGTACCAGAGTGCTTCAAGGAACAACAATTGTGCCAGTGCCCAGGAAGACAAAGGTAACTTGTCATGAAGTACCTTGAAAGCATAGTATTGTCATACTGTATATAAACTGCACTGTCCCAGACTCCCTCAACCCACTTCAATTTGCTTACTGCTCAAACAAGTCAGTTGTTGATGCCATATCTCTAGCAATACATACAGCCTTTGAACATTTAGACAATGTTTAAACATCCTAGGGTCCTTGTATTCCTTTATACTGTATTTAGATCTA